GGTGCAAATGCAAGCCACACTATAATGAGTCGTTAATTAAGTTTCTCTTGAACTTGTACATAACTTATGACTTGATTCATGAATATTGTTGTTGTTCGACCAATGTTCGTTGTACCGAATTGATTTTTGAATTTTTGTTTTCTTCATTCATCATCTTATGACAGATTTCTTTCTATTCAAATTATGTGTCTATTTTTTGGTCTCTTTGTTGATGTCGATATAAATAATAAGTTTGGTTTGTTTTCTGATATTCCCTGCTTAGATAGTACAGTTCAGATGTGGACAGATGCACTGTTCGCTAATGAATGATAAATCTATATTTTCCAAAAATAAAGACGTCTTAGGCAGTTTTATCAAAAGTTTCGAAGAATCGACAAAATCTGAATCTGTAGGTAGTGTCTACACATTTTGAAGCTTGATTTTTCTTCTCAAAATAGACTTTCCATGATGAAAAACTTATATAGAAAAAAAAATTCCAATTAACCGAATAAAAGTACGACTTTTGATTGGAAACAGGTCGATGTGTTCTCTGTTGAACTGAATTTCCTTTCATTTTCTCTTGAAATTTCTCTTATCCTTATTTCCTAAACTGTCTAGAAATGATCGATTCTGATTTAGTATCAAAAATTGAATAGTAAAATGAAATTTAATTGAGTTTAGCATTAATAAAAAATTAAAACATCTATTCGATGCAGATAGATTGAACATGTACCATCTGAATGAAAATTTTCTCGTTTATCTTCATACAATATATTGTATCCGTTTAGTTTCGAGTGAATGTTAATTAAAATAATCGCTTGACTATTTTATTTCGCTACTAAATAATTATCTACTAAACTCAAAATAAATCGATAGATATAATGCTCTATGTGTTAGTTGTATCTCTTTTTTTAAGGATTAAGCGATTGTTTTCTTATTTGATTGTGAATGTGGTTCAGATGAATATATGTTAAACGATACAATAGTTGATTATTATTCATGTTGAATAGATGAAAGATTAAATAGTTGATAAGACACAAAGTAATTCAATACTCACATTTACTTTTTACATCAGTGTATCAATTCGAGAAAACATACACAATCTACACTCTGGCTACAACTTGTAAATTCTATACTATTTATATGCTAGATCTATGATACATATCAAGTATGTCACAAATTATTAGAGAAAGAACGGGTATATCTTTTTTATTACGAAAGCGACAATAGTATTAGATTTGAATAGGTACAGTTATTCAACTCTTTTCTCACAGCATGCAAGTCATCATCTGTAATAAGCATTGACTTGAGATCAAACGGATGTGATATAGAATTATTAGAGAAAGATTCTACAAAAACCAATCAACAGATTTTTAGTTAGAGAATAACAAAGTTTTTGAAAAAAAAATCTTCAATTTCAATCAATAAAGCTATAAACTGATACCAAAAAAGAAAAGATGTAAGATGCAATTAGAAAACTGTAAATCACCACAAAAGAAGCACTAATCTCTCTGCTATACGAAACAAGTAAACAAAAATTTCATTTTCAAATAAAAAAAGAGTATTAGATCAGCTGCTTTTTATTATGTTATACTACTAAGATTGATTATGATACAAAAACTAGACCAAGAGAAAAGCATTTTAATCATAGTACCTATCTGTGTCATTTGACCATGTAATCGAAGTTAATATCACATATGGAAAAAAGTAGCACTAAGTTCATTGAAAGAAACCAAAGTTCACTTGACATACCTAGTTAAATATTAATAAGTAAATCATGTAAGAAATTTTTTATTACAATGTTACTTTTCTACTATAAAAAAAATTAAGAATAGGAAAGCTGACCTCTCAAAGTATTAACAATCTTTTCTGTCTCAGTTTGTAGAGGAAATAAATCTACATATATCCTGAAATTTTCATGACGGACACATTCGTTTTGACAATGTTATATTTCTACAGGTTATGAGCTTTTGTCTATTTCTTGCTAGTCTAAAACGTCGAAAAACTTTCGAAGACTAAATTTTCATTCAATGTTTATATGTTTAGATTTATTTGATACATCTTCATCTGTTCAATAGTACTTTTTTAAGTACTCACGTCTACACCCTAAAGAGTAACATATAACTTATTATTCAAAATTTATTGCACTCGATTGATATCCTTGTTAAGAAAGTACGTTTTTGTAAATATGTTGAGATAATATGATTGGTAGAACGATTGCAGAAAAAAATAAAGGAAGCATAGGATTTGAAAATGAAAAGAACTTTTTTGTAGCAAACTTCATGAGCTATCGACTGGTTTAATGAATAGAAACCAATTGTTCTCTACTTGTAGACAATAGAGATTTTCGTACGATATAAGTAGAAGAAGAAACTCACTTTTGATTTAGATATGTTTCGAAATCTTCTCGATAATTCAGCGAATCATATATGCTAAAATATATAATTGGTCATGTAACCACTTTGAGGCAACTGAAGGCCAACGAAGAACAAAGTTAATATATCCATTATAAACCTTGACTCATAAGAAATTGAAATCGTATTTATTATGAATTAAATTTTCTCAGAAGTTATAACAAGGTAGATTTTTATTTAACAAGATATGTCAAAAACGCATCTGTTCTTTTGGCATTAATTTTATTGCTTCACACACTTTCTATGTTGCTATTATTACAATAACATTGGATAGATGTTGCTTTTATCCACTCAATAATGTGGTCACTAGACCACATCATTAGCATGTTTAAAAAGTTAAGACTCTATTGATAAAGGTATTTTATCAGTGGTCTATTTGGAGCCACTGTGTGAGATAAAGGACTAACAAACTAAAAAAAAACATCTCTAAATCGTTTTTTAAGCTTTAGACTCTACAAAGAATATAAGGATAAAAATAATTCATAGTAATTGTACGACTAGTATTTATCTCATAGTAAAAATAAGATTCGGGCAGTATATTTTAGTTTGTTTTCTAATAACCGACATTCTCAATAATTAATGCTGGATGATAGTTATCATGCGTCTTTATATGTTAATATACTTTTGATTTTTATGAATTGAATGTATCCATAGAGAGAACAATTATATTCATGAGGTTTGAGTTGCTTGATAAATAATTTAGAGAATTGTTATAGGCACTCAACCTTATTACAAGACAGTAAAAAGTCAGTCAGACAAGACTCTTCAAAAAAAATGCGATAAATTTTTTTTGTAGACTTACGTGTTTTTACTCCTTTTCAGCGCCCATTTCACGACTGCTACTATGTTGAAAGACTACAACGCATTCTCCTCTGAACGAATCTTATTATGCTCAACAATTACTCGTTTTTTTTCTCGTTGTTTTTAAAAATCGTGAATATGTAATCTTCTCCTGCTTCTAATACTAATATGATCATAGAAGTTTTCAAGATGGTTTTTTTTCGTTTATTCTTAACATATTAAGACTGTTGCTGATTGATTTGACGATCAAATTTTGTTACAGCTATTGAAATTATTCTATTTTTATCACGATATGAATCAGCGATCCAAAGGTGTGAAGATTATATTATCAAAAATGAGAAAAAACAGCAATATATAATTGAATTTATTAGAGTTCAGCATTGATATAAAAAGAAACAAGTCGAATAGGGATACTACAGAAAATTAACTACGTTTTTCTCATCATTGCACAAATGATTAAACCGTGCTTACTGAATAGAATCAATAGATTTAAAATAAGGGTCTGTTTTGAGATATGGATGTTAACTGAATTGTAGAATACAGAATCACACTCACACCTCACCCACATCCACACTAGCATCCTTTATAGCTTAATCTTTATTTATATGTTGAAACGTATAGTTATTCGGGTTTTTTTTCTTCAATTGTACTTTGTTCATATCGATATTAGTCACATATTATTTTAAATGAAGCTACATACAAGTTTGTAAAGAATTGAATTATGCATCTTTCAAAAACAAATTCAAAATTCCATCTTTTCTCTAAACTGAGATATATGTAAAATACAAAATCTTGCAAAATTTTTGTGATACCTGATAGTATTTTAATCCAATGATCTGGAGGTGATTTTCAGGAAAACGTAATCAAAGCTTTGTAGAAATCATTCTGGCTATCTGATTGAGATTCAGTCATTCCGAAATTTACCTAAAAATCACAGATTGTTATGTTTTTGAGTAGAAAGCCTCGATATGATTAGCATTGATCTATGTGATGTTTCAAAAGTAGAAAGCAACAGATTCTAAAGACCTGTACCAATTCCTGTCAAGTTTATTCACTTTCGTATGCATACAACTCGTCTTATGATCTTGCTAAAATTCTATCAACATACTGTATCCTTAATTTTTCACGAAAACATAGGTGTTAGATTTGGCGTTTATTGTCCAAGGATTCGACATCCTTCTAACATGATCGTGTTTTAAGAGTCTGACAGAGTTCATTATTTTATTGTTCAAGTTCTGTCTAATATTCATGTAAATTCTTTAAAGATTCTGCATTCCCACAGTTTCCAAACAAAAGACTCAGATTCCAATATTTTCCTATCGAGAGCTTGAATCGAATTAGCAGTGTTCTTTCTTGAAAAGCTTACGGCCATCTCCAGACACAGTTTTGCAGCTAACAGATGCTAGCAATGAGTAGAAATAACATAGACGTAAGAATCGTTACGAAATCCATTTCTTTTTATTGGAAACTAGAAGAAGGTTTCTGAATGTTTATTTGTGGAAAGACTGGAAAGTTTTACCGAATTACTTTCGATGATGAATGTCGCATTTGTAGCTGTTGCTCTCGCGAGATATGAGTTTCTTTGACAATGACGATTTCTTTTTTATCTCGTTCATTGTAGTGATTTCCAATATTTCAACCAATACCCAATCTCCACAGAGTGCGAAGACTGTTGCTGGAGGTCACGGATATGGCTTTGCCATGAATCAACTAAAAAACCCTTACGGTCTCTTCGTTCATGACAATCAAACAATAGTCATCGCTGACTATGATAATCATCGTATCATCCAATGGAACATAGGTGATATGAATGGACAAGTGGTAGCCGGTGGTAATGGCGAAGGAAATCGATTAGATCAGTTGAATCGACCAACCGATGTGTTGATTGACAGAGACACTGATAGTTTCATTATCTGTGATCGAGACAATCGACGAGTTGTACGATGGTCTCGTCGTAATGGCACAATTGAAGGAACAATCCTTATCGACAACATCAAGTGTTTTGGATTGGCCATGGATGATCAGAGATATCTGTACATCTCTGACACTAAAAAACATGGAATTAGACGATATCAAATAGGAGACAAGAATGGAACTATTGTAGCTGGTGGTAATGGCAAGGGTGCTGGTCTCAATCAACTCAACTTTCCAACCTACATTTTTGTTGACCAACAACAGACTGTCTACATGTCGGACTACTACAATCATCGTGTGATGAAATGGAATAAAGGTGCAAAAGAAGGAATTATCGTTGCTAGAGAACAAGGCGAAGGAAATGCTTTGACACCGTTGTGGTATCCTGAAGGACTGTTCGTCGATATGTTGGGTACCATCTATGTAGTAGATTCAGTCAAACATCGCGTAATGCGTTGGTCTAAAGGAACGCCACAGGGCACTGTCATTCTCGGTGGAAATGGTCGAGGAGAAGGAGCGAATCAGTTAAACGCTCCCATCGGTTTGTCCTTCGATCGACGTGGCAATCTCTATGTCGCCGATGCTGGGAATCATCGTGTTCAACGCTTTTCTATTGAGTAGACTCATAACGATGAATTTCTTTCTTTCCTTCATATAAATCACGTTGAATTGATGAAAGAAATGGCTGTTCTATTCATGCGTGCGACCAGAAGCCATCCTGGTGAAACTATGGCGAATGTGACGTTCATACACACATGGGACAGACTCAAATCTTCCGGATCAGAAATGTTTCAAAGAGTCTGGTGAATACCTGTTCGTGTGTCACGGATACCAAGATAGTGTCTGACCGAGCTTTTAGCGACTAGCCGGAAGTCCTTCAGATAACAGAGGTCTAATATCAATGAATATGGCTCACCCTTCCCACCAGAACAAAAGCGATATTTTCATCATTTATAACTTGTCTAAATTAATGATGCAACAGGTAGTCAGTCTTTCTTCTGCTACGTAAATATACAATTAGATACGGAATTCTATAGAACTACCTTCATGCTATAAAGTTAAGTTTTTGAGTTGAACAACTTTTAGCTAAAATAAAAGAAAAAATGAGCCAAATAAAATTTTTGTATCGATTTCAATTTGAAGTTATTTCAAATATCTGCTTATATTATAGAACATCCTAGTAAATATCTAAAACAGGAAGGAATTTTCTTTTTTGTAAGATTTTACAGTAGAAGTAGTCCTCGGATAAACACCGCCATCACAAAAAATACTATAAAATACTTATAAGAATCTTTCGTTTTTTCTTAGTACTCTTCGAGACATGAATTCCAAATGTATTGCTATTCTTGAAGAAAAGCTTAAAGTTATGACACCGCGAAAGTTTTATCATCATTTTGGATAGTCAAAATTTGAAAAGGGAGGATATAACTAGATGTTGAATATAATTCTTCAACAAAGGTGATCACCAAACATTATCCAACATATCATTGAAATCTTTTTTTTGAATTAGATATTAAAAGACAAGATCAGTTTTTAAATAAAATTCTGTCAGAAACTTTTCCATCTATCAAAGGGCAAACGTAAGATGGAAATAAGAAAAGTTAATTGACGAAATATTGTTGTTCTGAACCTTCGTTCTTCACATGTCGAAATTTTAGTGGATGTTTTAGCATAAAAACATGTAGTTCTTCTTAAGTCATCTAGTAAATAGAAATTCGACTTCAAACTTTGCACGAACAAAGTTCTTCACGAGATTCGTTAAAACAGAAAATTTCAAATATTCAATATCTCTGGATAGAAAAACAAAACTCACAACTTGTCTAAAGAGTTAATTTGATGTTCATACAAAATTTGAATTCTAAAGTCGATTTTTCATGCAACTTGAGTAAGCCTGCAGGCTTTTGTTGAAAAAAAACGAAGATCCGAAAAGCGAAACCATTCTAAACTTTCAAGTGTACCTCATTCATGGCTCAATATGAATACAGCCGACTGGAGAATCTTTTTTACGTTTAATGAGATTCAAAATGACAAACCTGTAGGTGGAGCTCTTGTGGCTATGCCTGAATGTGCATTATAGAGTTTACATGTTGCCCTTTGATATCGATGTTTAGGAATTTGACGAGCTTTATTAAAACATGGTACTCAATGGAGTAAACAACAAAGAGCAACAACATGTATGAGTATTGCAACACAAAATACCAATGTATCTGCTGGTCGATGCTATGCAGCTATGGGAGCTAGATTGGGTGATATTGATAGAAAAGCATATGAAAATCATGAAGCAATAAAAGATGACATTCAAATTAATTTATAGATTGATTGAAACTCATGGTTGATAAATGATTTTCAAAAATGTTTTCTTATACATTCAGTGTCATCAGAAAGAACTATTCAACACGTTCGTTTAAACATAGGTTTATAAATTGGCGTGTGCATGTGGATATGTCGTTATTACGTTCACACACATCCTACAAGAGTATTTATAGTAAGAGTTTATTTGAAACAAAGTTATTCTTGAATTTAAACGAAACATTTTATATTGTTTACAAGAAGTTTCCCCAACATGAGTTAAATTATAAGTTTAAAAATCATGTTTTTTTCACATGATAGTTGCCATGTGCTATTACGAATTAGACTCAACTATGAATGATAAATTTTTAGAATCAAGCAACATTGTCCATACAAAATACTGGTAGAGCAAAACATGTTGAATATATTGATATGTTAGCTAGGATTAGTTTTCTTCCCTAAAATTTATATAAACATTATTTGAAGTTTTTATTACAAAATTCTGATTTACATATGTTCGATTGAACTACTCGATAATTCATATATTCTAAACTATAGGTTACATAATATAATCACAATAAATATTCATTGATAAGTTTCTTCATTAACTGATATTTGAATATTTTTGTACAAAAAACATCTTTGTTTGAAACATTCAAATGTCTGAATAAATTGATTGTTTCAGAAAAGATCTTATAAATAATCTTTTTTTTTCGTATTCAGTAACTAAGAATTATGATTATAAACAACCGATTTGTAGATCATAGTCTACTGATCAATGTCAATAGTACATAGAATGAAAACAATGCTACTTTCTTGAATTCCAAAGGTATAGAGTAATTTTAAAATTATTCAATAAGAATAACTAGAAAAAATTCACTATTCTTTTTTCGTCTGTTATGTCGCGCAACATTTTGTATTTTTTTATAGAAAAATAAAGCAAAAATCTAATGGTGACTATCATTTATTTTCGATATCATTTTCAGAAAGCTTCTTCTTGTTTTCTTCCTATGCGCTGAATAATAAATGATTATCATATATTAATCAATCCACTTGTATGTAGGTTACATAGGATTCTTAGAATACTTACATGTAATTTTAAATTAGTATACTCCCCATGTAACCATGAAACGCTTTTTTTACGCATTTAAACGCGTCTCGAAATTGAAACTGCCTGCAAACTCACTGAGATGCGTTCACCATATGAATTTTTGAACACGTTTCAAATTTTACATGCGTTTAGAGGCGTTTCACGATTAAAATGCATCAAAACTAGTTGAAAATGATTTTTACACGCGTTTCAACGCGATTAATTTCACTCTTGCGTTTGAATGCACTTAGTTTATATGCAATGGATGCTTTTAAGTTTCAGTAACGCGTTTAAACGCGAACTTTTTGTTTTGTATAAATAAGATGCATGTGAACGCGTCTCTAGCCATGAGTGCACCGTGTTTCATCAAGAATGCACACCAATTCATCAAAATATGGATGAGTAGCTATGGAACAGTGAAGTACACTACTCACTTTTCATTCAGAAAAAATGAAAACTATACATCAAATCATTATGACGACGTATTAAAGTCTTATTGTTTTTCCAATTCTTAATATGACCATTCTTGATATATGCAACTTAAAATGTCAGTGACTAGCATTACATCAAAGATGGAAGATAAGGATGAACAAGTGCAAACCAGAAGTCTCATCATGTTTGTATCCATCATACAAATTCATGAAGACCTAATAGGTGGTGAAGTAGAAATATATGAGAATACGTATCAAGTTTGACACTTACAGGCCATTCATTGGAAAACAGTATTACAACAACACTATTTCTCGATATGTCACCAGCATCACTATTTTTCATAAAATCAACTTTGCTCTGATATAACATATAAGTTAAACGTAGTATTTAGATTTCAAAAAAAACGTGATTCCTTGGAGATAGGATTACTTTTGAGAAAATGAAATTCTACGAAGCTGCTAGGTAAGATTCTCATGGAATGTGTAGATCATTCGCTCAGAAAGAGAAAAGAAATATTTGCGAGAATGAGAGCAAACCAAGCGCATAACCTGTTTTATCAAAGACACCAGAAAACTATTATTAAAACTCTTCATAAGTCAGTCAAAAAGTGATTCAAAACCAAACCATAGATATGTGATTCTCATTCTCGAGGAATTAAAAGTTAAGCAAAAATGTTTACTTTAACTGAAAGATGAAGTTCAATGTTAGTTCCCATGTAAACTTATTATGAATACAACTAGATGACAAATTGTAGAAACGAAAGACTCTGAAAGTAGCTCCAACCCGATGATACAGTTGTTTTCAAATACAACCTGAAATAGTATTGTGCCTGAATGCCATTAAAAGCAACTTTAAATAGCATCTGAATGCAGTCAGAATGCAAAACGCACATCCATGCACTATTACTACTGTGCGTTTTAATATGCTCATGTGCAATAAATATTTTATCTGGGTTGCTTATGAACGCACTTATCACATATATGATATTTATGTGTTAATGTCTAATATTTTTTTTTGTTTCCTAATATTAAAATTTTTGGACTAAAGAATCAAACGTGTTAGACGAAACAAAATGCATATAATCGTATACAAAAAACCTCAATTCTTTAAATGCATTTAATCCAATTCCCATTGATTATTCTAGAACGATTCTATAAAATTTACTTGTACCTTAGTATCATTAAATATTTTATTTACAGTAAAAAGAAAAAAATCAATCACTTAGCTTGAACTTGAAATTTATATTTAAATATTTTTGTACTTTAAATAGAAAAAAGAAGGGTGTGGGTGTGGGTGTATGGGTGTGGGTGTGGGTGTATGGGTGTGGGTGAGGGTGTGGGTGGGTGTGGGTGTGGGGTGGGGTGTGTGGGTGTGGGTGTGGGGTGTGGGTAGGTGTGGGTCTGTATGCGAGTGTTGTTGTCATCTACGTCCACACCCACACTCCACACCCACACCCACTCAAAATACATAATTCTCGAATATCGCTGTGTTCTCTCCATGACTTGTAACTGCAGTTTTCGTTTTCAATCTATATTTCAATATCGATGTATAACATTGATATTGTCAGTGATGGCTAATCGAACGAAGATCATTATTTTCTATGATTTCTGAATCAGCTATTTGGTAATTTATCGTACTTATCCGTTACTGAATTTTATTTTTCTTTCAAGCTCCAGATTCAATCAAATGAAGTTGAATCATTCAACATAACATAGAATCTAAAATATTTAAAGCGGTACGCTCCTTTTTAATAATGGTGTTCGATCAGCCAAGCGAAGATCTAGAGGATATTAGTGTTCATTTTCGAAAATATATTCTATGACAAGTATGCGATGACATACACAAAGAATCTAATTCGAGCATGTTTGTTTATTTAATTAGTAAGTTTTTGCTGATGCTATGAAAGTGATGATCAATGAAAGAATGCACAACATTGATGGATAACGTATCTAAAAACAAAGTCAAATTATTTAGCGTATGAAGTTTTGGATAAAACAGAGTTTTCATCATACTGATCCAGCCTTTGACGAGAGAACAGAAGCTTGTAATTCTTGTTGGGTTGCATTTTGAAACGCACTCAGTCCACGATATTGTTGATTACCCCAATTAAAAATTAGATTGCTTTCGTTTGCATTCGGTCCGTTCGGATAATACGATTGTCGATTGAATACATTATCCAAACTACCTATCTGATCTACAGTTAGAATAATATTTTTTGTGTTCGGTTTGATTGCATTGGAATAGACGAAATTATTGGATGCAAAAGAAACGACAATTTCTCCAGCTCCAGTATTTTTGACATCGTTATTTTCCAGTCGATTATTTTGGAATGTACTATTGATGACACGTCCTCGTCTAGAACAAAACAAGAAATTTCTCTCTTTCAGATCATAAATTCGATCGAAACACTTACTCGGAATCATATCCACCAAAGAGAAGACCGGCTTTGTCATTATCATGAATGTAGTTTTCATGAACAACCATTCCTGACGCTATTCGACCTTGATTTTCAGCACCGATTTCTATACCAGCATCCGAATTATAAACTTCATTCTTTCCTATATTTATATCAGATCCTCCATCTACGTAATACCAGCTGCACTAGAATCATATGAAGAATGAATGTTCCATACTGTATTATAATAACATTGACCAGAACGAGCCCCAAGAGCTCCCATGTTACTTTCTCCACCTATGCAAAAGAAAACAAATAAATCTCGTAAATTAAACTATTGCAGTTTGCTAAAAACAGTTAGAATGATAAACTACATCTCAATATTTAAAATGATTCTAAAGTCAATTGCAATTCATACCTATAAAATCGATGCCAATATTATTCATATTGTAGACGCGATTGTTAGTCACTTGAAACAATTCAATATTACCATTAAGAGTTAAAGCCTCGCTCCAAGCTGGTTCACAATCATGTAATGTACAATTATCGATGATTAGTTTACTGAGACTCGTCTCTTGATTTTTGTTATAAACAGTAATTGCCATCGCTCCACCTGTCTTTCCTCCGCCAAGTATATGATGTATACGTAAATTGCGAAGCTCTGAAAAAAGAGAAGATTATTTAATTTTAATATAAAAATAAACATTAAATAACTCTGATTAGTATGTTGAGAAATCGTTTGCTACTTCTCAAAATATCTATGATTTTTTAGGAATCGTATTCGAAAATTTTATGAATATTTTTTGAGTTGTACATACCAATTCGTGTTCCGCCGCCAACAATTCTGACTCCACTACATTCGCTATTTTTCAAATTAGACAATTCAAGATTAATAATATTTATATAACTTTTGTTTTCTATATAGATCAAGTTTAGTGTACCATCGGGTGATGCAACTGCAGCATTTTCACCTGAGATAATCGCTGGGTTATCTGGCATTAAACTAGTAAATGTGATTGATCTATTGAAGAGATTTCCTTGGACGAGTATTGTAACAGTTTCATAGTATGTTCCAGGACCAATGTAGACAGTAGAACCAGCCATAGCCTTACTGGCTGCCTTTTGAATAGTACGCCATGCATTGGTTTGTGTGGTTCCCGAATTGTCATCATTACCAGAGACCATAACGTAATATACTTGGTTTTCACCTGGAAATAAATATATAGAAATATTGTTTATATCAAGCAGACACTTATTAAAGATCAACTTTAATTTTTACCTGCTAGAGCGCAGTGAAAAATTATGTAAACCCAAATGGATACAAGTAGTTTTGAATTCATATTCGTCTGTAAATTCACACTGTTATAATTCAAGTCTTTTTTTTTCTATATACTTATAGACCTTTTTCCAGTTGACTGCACAATGTATCGTGATCGGTAATTTAACAAAACATGATGCAGAACGCATAGTAATTAATTTCTCAAGGTTCGATAAAAACGACATTTACAAAAAAAAGTGTACGCAACTAGACCTTATTCCTTCTCCTCAGACCAATAAATTGATTTTCAATGATTTGCTCACATTTATTCGCATATTCATCTACTCTAATGAAAAAACCATGTGCTTTACGAGACATCTGTTGAATAACAAGACATTACGAAGTAAGATTCACTCATTAGTAAAATTAAATATTGTATTCATTTGGTTGGGGTGTGGGTGTGGGTAGGTGTGGGTTTGTGGGTGCGGGTTTGTGGGTGTGGGTGTGGGTGTGAGTGTGGGTGTGAGTTCGTGTGGGGTGTGGTGTGGGTTTGGCTGGATGTAACAGCTAGAAACAACCCACACCCACACCTCACCTCACCCACACACCCACATTCCACACTCACACCCACACCCACACCCTAAACTCCTTTCATGACAAAGTAGGGAGATAAATACTTATTTACAGAAAAAATGGCCATTTTCTACCCCGAAATCGCAGTTTTTTTATTTGAGAGTAACTTTTTTCGCAGTAAAAAGTTCAGATTCGTATAGAGCACAAAATTTTGAGTTAGAAAAGACATTTTCCACTAAAGTTTGAAGAAGGGTTCTTTTACAAGGGACCCAAAATTGAAAAATAGAGCCTAGATTGTGGTCCAGACTATATAGAGAACAAGGGAGTTTTTAGAGGTTCTATTATGAAATTCATAATCAGACACTTTAATGTATAGGAATATCTAGCTTTGATTGATGAAAAGCGAAATTTTTTTTTCGACGACACCTGGGGGGACCTCAGGGACCAAAATTGATGATGTCATTTTTTTCAAAATAAACCTGAAATAAATAATCAGGAGTCACCCCATATTCACACCTAATAGAAATAAATTAGTCCTGAAGCAGTTGAAAAGATTTGACCTTATCCGCCCTCCTCCTTTATATTAACTGTTAGGTAAAATGATTTTTTTTGTATAAAAAAAGAATGATGCCTTTGTTTACATGGGTGGATGTCAAAAAAACCAAAAAAAGAATAATCAAATTTAGTAAACAGGTATGTCGACGACTTTTTTTCTATACAATTTCATTCATTTGCTCATAAGACAATGTCTTTGTTTTTCTTTTTCTCCAATATCTATGATAATATGTATTTTGATGAAATATTTCTTTTTCTTCCCTGTCGTCACAAGCAAAACTTACGACGAAGATAATCTAGTCTTTAGAAAACAACAGGTGAGTATCTTGTTGGTTGTACGCATGTCTTTCAAATAGAGTTAGAAAATCTTTCTTATTTTCTTTTCTTCTTGACAATCTATGCAGCATTATATCTCATATTTGTGTATAAAAACAATACAAGAAGGCGAGTTTAAATGTTATTCATGAGTCTGTATACGTTAGCGCATTGCTACATGTATAGATGTGTAAGTCAATGCATCTATCGGAGATGATATATTCCCTTTTCTGAAAGAAAGGGTCTTACATTGAAAAATGTATGTATGTTTGTCTGTCCAACCAATCAGATTTCAGGTCAATGGTCAATGGTCAAAAGAACACATATGACAAGATTTCATATAAGGGCAAGGCCAGCCAGCGGTCAACTATCTATGAGGAAGGTTTAGTTGCTGAAAAATGAAGAAAAGCGTTTCTACAATCGAAAGTATACTTTCAACAGATTATCAAATATGTTGAAAGCTATGAGATGCGTTTTATACGAGTGATAGAAATTCTTTTTTCTTCCATTATATATCTAAAAGAGAGATTAATTCACTAGTTTTATCAAAAAGTATAATTTTACACATTGTTAAATTTCATTTTTGTCTAAAAAATGGACAGCAGTTCTGTTCCGATTTCTGTGGTAAGAGTAAGACTTCATTACTTAAATGATAAAACTCTCTTGGTACTACTTACGGATTGGAGAGAAGATGAGTTTTTATAATGACCATTTAAAATTTCATGTTCCTAAACCTTCCCCATTAGAATGTCAAAAGAAAGATGAAATTCCGTAACGGACAGTATGTTTTATTTTCTATTCAATGCAGACACTCATGTGAAGAAATGACCTAATGCTTCGAAAGCTTATTCAAAGCTGAATAATTTTTATATAGAACGTTTATTTCTTTCTTGCTGAATTTCGCAGTAAAGCGCTAAACTTTCAGTACACCCTTAAAAAAAATTCCATTTTTGAAATTCCGTAACGGTCGATATTTTTCTAAATAATTCTGCTCTGGTCAAAGAAGAATCAGTGATATTTATAACGATAGTAGGTCTATATAGTCTCTATGTATGATAAAAATTTTAGAGAGTTTACGTTTATTATTGATGAGATACAGATGTTGCAATGTAAAAACCTGAAATTCCGTAACGCTGGCCTTGCCCATAACGGGGTGCCTATAGGTCCTCAAGTCCTATATTATGAGGGTACCCTTAGGCCCTCAAGTCCTATATAATGGGGGTACCCGTAGGTTCTCAAGTCCTATATTATGGGGTAAACTTAGGTCCTCAAGTCCTATATTATGAGGGTACATGTAGGTCCTCAAGTCCCATATTAGGAGGGTACCCATAGATCCTCAAGTCCTATATAATGAGGGTACCCGTAGGTCCTCAATTCGCATACAATGGGGGCACCCGTAGGTCCTCAAGTCATATATTGGGAGGGCACCCTTAGGTCCTCAAGTCCTATATTATAAAGGTACCCTTAGGTCATCAAGTTCTATTGTATAGAGGTATGGATGTAACAATATCAATACCAGTCAATAGCAATTGGTATTAGTATTGGCTGGTATCGGTATTGGTGTAGGGGGCAGCTGGTCCCTCACGTCAAACATCAATATTTTGAAAAGCTCACAACGGATTCGGATTCCTCAACCCGAAAACCTTCGATCAAACTTTATGAAAAATCGTTATTTTCTTAAAATAAAGTATTTTCTGATGAAAGAATCAAGAATTTATAATTGTTTCGCCAAAATTTTCGAATTTGATTTCTTTCGTTAAAAAAAGGTTATTTTTCGAAAATAACGATTTTTTTAAAAAGTTTGATCGAAGGCTCTCGGTTCGAGGATCCGAAGCCGTTGTGAGCTTTTCAAAGTATTGATATTTGACGTGAGGGACCGACAGCCCCTACACATATACTGATAGCAGCCAATACCAATACCAAGTGCTATTAACTGGTATTGCTATTGTTACACCCATACCTCTATACAATAGGACTTGATGACCTAAGGGTACCTTTATAATATAGGACTTCAGGACCTAAGGGTACCCCATAATATAGGACTTGGGAACCTATGGGTACCTTTATAATATAAGACTTGGGGACCTAAGAGTACCCCTGTCACATAGGACTTGGAGACCTAAGGGTACCTTTATAATATAGGACTTCAGGACCTGAGGATACCCCCACAATTTAGGAGTTGAGGACCTTAGGTTACCCTCCTAATATAGGACTTGCGGGTCCAAGGGTGCCCCTATAATATAGGACTTGAGGACCTGAGGGTATCTTGAAATAATAGGAGACGAGGACCCAAGAGTATCTTCAAAGAATAGGATATGAGGACCCAAGGGTATCCTCGTATAATAGGACATGAGGATCTAAGAGTAGTTTCACTCATGCTCATGAGCGCTCATATAAGCGTGAGCTAGGGATACACCAGTTTCAGTCATGACTGGGTATCCAGTCCGACTAGTACCCAGTCCACCAGTCATGACTGGGTATCCAGTCGGACTAGTACCCAGTCCACCAGTCATGACTGGAACTGGTGCATCTCTAAGCATGAAATGGTAGCGCCTAAACGACGAAGATCATCATCAGCATCTTTGGTACGAGTTTCCACAAGTTATTTATCATTGTTTCATTCACCTTTTTCCAGAATTCCACTGATAGTCAACTCATCTTTCAATTGCCTTGAGCGCATTCGTCTCCAAAGCCCGACATGGCAAGAAATATGCTTACACCATTAATATTTGTAAGTTTACCTTCTATCTTCAACCAGGCGTTATAAATCGTTTTTTCTAGAAAACATCTTAATTACCGGCAACATCAACGTCTCGTCGCACGACTAGTTTCGGAACATGTTATAGCAAAACAAAGGCTCACAGTCAACCGATCAAGTATTGAATATTCCTCTTGTTTTTCTTCTGTTGTTTTCGCTTTATTTTTTCTTTTTTTGTAATTTTTTGGTCAGTTGTGCCATGTAGTTGATTTTGTGAAACGCGATCTGAAAGGAGTGTTGAAGTATAGGGGTAGAAATTTGCACCCACTCCCCTATAGACTATGACAGACGTAACTATGGAAGCGTCACAGACCGTGACAGGCGCCTTAGCAACGCCCTCCCCCCCATCACAGACCGTGATAGACACCTTAGCAACGTCCATCACAGACCGTGATAGACATGCTGGGAAATGTTCTCATTTATGACGGAAGTAGCTGGATCTTGTTTCACATTTTAATCCAGCAGGAATCACGCTAACAGCTTTTTGCCGATTATTTGTGAAATTTTTGAACATTTCTGGTATATTTTTTCTGAAATACTATTGTCTTGTTGTCAATTAATATAATTGTGATAGAAAAAGATTTTCTTTATCTTACGAAGGTATTTACATATAGCTTAGTCGCTTGTTGAACAAGAGAAAATGATGTTTAGCCGGGTTTATATTTAAAAACAATGTCAAAGACAAAAGTATGAGGGGAGTAATCTAGCAATATTTCACGCTCTGTTTTCCCAAAATAGTTGCATCAACATCGTATAATAACGCCCTCTTTTTACTTCACTCTTTTTTATAAAAAACTAAATATACAGTTCGACAGAGAATAATTTTCTTTATCTAGGAATACCAATGCTATCTCTAGCCCCGTCAAAACGGGAAAGAACCAATCATAGGGCATTTGCTGTTGTTTCCCTTATTTGGCCTTGTCTACACTATACGATTTAATGCTGAATTAAGGAATCTGATTGGTGTTTCCAAGTAGCAACACCAATCAGATTTCTTAATTCGGTATTAAATCATATAGTGTAGGCAAGGTCTTTGCCTCTGTTTAGTCGGATGAGAGTCTGTACCATTATTAGTGTGGAAGCTCAACCTGATGACTCATCGAATCAATGGCAAAAATATACTGATTGGCGAGTGCATTTAGACATTTTTTTTCTAAGTTAATGTTGAGGATGTTTTGAGAATAAATAGAATAAAATGATTAGATAGATATCCGTTTGTCTGGCCCAAGTCGAAGTTTCTCGAGTTAACTTAATAAAAGTAAAATACAGCATAAAGAGGGCAGTACAATCTCAACTTTGACGACGTTTTGTTGCATTACTTGCTACTTTTAAAAAAAAACCAAAAACATAGTTCCATAGAGAAAAATTTTCTCTATCTACTATTATCAAAGATATTTCTTGCCTATTCCGAAAAATCAGACAACCAATCATATGATACTTGCTATTGTTTCACTTATTTGATATTGTTTTGTCGGCTCAGCTCCCGTACTATATATGTAATTCAACGACAACAGCACGAGAAAGACAAAGTACAGGTAAGAGTGACCTTTAACCAATCTTTTTTTACATCGAATGTAAATATTGATTGAAGATGATAGGAAAAGTAATCACACACGCGGCATTTCGTGTTGATCTACCAATGTTGAGAAAATCATATGGACTAATGTCTCAAGCTTATAACTTCAAACATTTTTATTCTACTTCACAACCACCATCCATCCCAATTATAGATATAACCAACACATATCAAAATCTAAAATATCGTCGAGAAATAGCTAAACAAATCGATGAAATTTGTCAAAATATCGGTTTCTTCATTATTACTGGACATTCAATCGATGAAAACATTCAAACTGATATGATGAATGTATCAAAAGAATTTTTTCATTTACCATTATCAATAAAACAAGAAGTGACTAGCTCAAAAGAATATCCTTATGGCTATCAGGGATTAAACACTGAAACTCTGTCACTTGCATATGATAAATCAACAACATATTTATTACCAGATTTCAAAGAAAGTTTTTCTATTGGACCAGAACACGATGGGCCTATACGCTGGTCATCAAAACCTCTTAGAATGCCTTCGATTTGGTTAAATTATTTTAAACAATGTGAAAATTTAGCAAAGCATTTATATAAAATATTAGCATTAGCATTAAATTTGGATGAACGTTGGTTTGAAAACAAAATCGATAAACATCGTTCAGTATTACGTTCATTATATTATCCTTCAATTTCCTCATTACCAGAAAATCAATATCGTACGGGTGCACATACAGATTGGGGGTCATTTACAATATTAAAACAAGATTCTACTGGAGGTTTACAAGTACAAAATCATCTAAATGGAAAATGGGTCGATGTTCCTTTTATAGAAAATAGCTTTGTTATTAATTTAGGTGATTTAATGTCACGTTGGACGAATGATCGATGGGTATCAAATCTTCATCGTGTGGTTGAACCTTTAAATAAATCAAATGGCTTATATCCCGCTCGTCAAAGTATTGCTTATTTTGTTAATATAAATCCAGATGAAATAGTGACATGTATACCAACATATTGCTTAGAAGATAAACCACCCAAATATCCATCAATCAAATTTTGGGATTTTATTATGGAAAAACATTTAGCACGAAATCAAAAGAATTATTAAACTTTCAATCATTTGAACATAAACATATATCTGATTTATATTTTTCGGTTTTTTAAATAAAGTAATTAATACAAATCCATATTGATTACAGATATTAACTTGTTAGAATGTTTACTTGCATGAACGGTCGCAAGCTACTCCACTTGTATAGTTTATCACTTCTCTGACACAAATTGAATCTTATATGGGCGTGGTGAGAAAACATTTAGGAAATGATTTTATTCTTTCCCTTTGCTAATCATGAATTCCTCATTCAATGATGATTCATCTTTCAACAAAGTTATTTCTCAGTCGATTCCTATGTGTATTGCACAAAACGAGAATTCATTTGAGTTCTCAGCAACAACAAGATTTGAAATATTGTTAGAAAGATTTTGAATTTATAACGGCTGGGGCAAAAGTTTTGCATTAATTCTGTTTTTGATATAATTCTGCAACGCAATGTCGTAGCAACTTGATTTTTTTTGTTAGAAAGAGTAAAGTGTCTAGTGCAAAAATGTATACAAGAGTTTAATTGGAAATGATTTTTAGATCATATGATGTCTTTTATGGATTTCCTGAAATTCACTCAAGTCCTAGTACACTTGACCAATGTTCAGATGTAGGAGGTACACGAGGTACAAGAGGTACAGAAGATAGAGGAGGTATTGGAGGGAGAGGAGCTATTGGAGAGAGAGGAGGTAGAGGAGATATTGGAGATACAGGAGGTATTGGAGGTATTGGAGGTATAGGCGGGTATAGAAGGTACAGGATGCATAGGAGGTGTTGGAGGTATAGGAAGTATTGGAGATACGGGAGGTATAGAAGGCACAGAAAGTATAGGAGGTATTGGAGGGATAGGATGAGGGCGGAGGGACACACACGGGTATCTCTCTCGTTGAGGATGATGGCGATAGGGCACAGACAGAAATCCTTGATTACAGGTACAACTTGTACTCGCATAATTCTCACTATGTGATCTTATGTATATGTATATACGTGTACTCATATAACAACACATATATCTCTGAAAAACCTAGAATTCATGCACTCGTATGTATCTGTATGTATAAGCATGTATCGGCCATATGATGCTTCATATGAATTATCAGGAAATCATCGACAATCGGAAAACAAATGGGTGTCCTGGAAACCAAAATGAAATTCGGGAAATAAAGATAAATTCATGGAAACGAAAAAGGATTTTTGGAAGCACGAATAGATTTAAGGAAGCCCAAATGAATTTGCAGCAAATCTAATGACTCTCCGGAAACCATAAATACTTCCAAGAACAAAATGGTTTTCAGAAAAACGTAGTGAATCTTCAATAGTCAAACTGACAATGGCTTCGTGTCAATTTCCTTACCATCATACCCACAGAACTGCTGTGAAGAATGAAAAAACATACGGCACTTCTCTGCATATGGGTGCGCGAAAAGACAGACACATTCGGAAACGCACACACAGCATATCTCACTCACTGAGGGTGCTCGGAAATAGCGACACCTTCAGAAAGGTGCATACAGCATATCACTCTCACTGAGGCTACTCGAAAAGACAGACACGTTTGGAAACACACACAGCACATATCTCTCTAGCTGAGGATGTTCGGAAATCGTG